TTCCTCAATGTCAGAAGAAGGGGGTCTCAAAAAAATATTGTGATAGAGCAAGGGGGGCTGAGGCATTTAATGAACAGTTCCTTATTTGCATTCTGTATAGAGCGGATTTCGTATGAGTGGGAAACGGACGGTACTGTACTGTGACCGTAATCGTACTGTAACCAAATTCTAGTGCCCCATTGTTTCACCAAAATTGTGAAGGCCAGGTCCGGTCAGTGTGCGGTAACCGTGCGGTAACGGTGTCCCACTCATACGAAATCCGCTCTATTTCCTAGACTAAGTTTCCCTAGGTGTTCAACCGTAAACACTGTCTGAGATCATTTCCAAGAATAAACTGGATCGATGTATGCAGGCTATATATATTTGATAAATACACAAGACACAAATGCTTAGCTTGGGCTACCTGTGAAATCCTCTTGGCATTTGGTGTCCCTCAACTAACTCTTAACCAGAATCTCGTTCCCAGGACCTTTTCCGAGGAAGCCCTAGGAACGAGTCTTGTGCTGTCATGTCACATGATAAACCATTGGTCGCAAAGTGTGATGGGTACCTAAAGGCGTTTGGCGACAGATAGGTACGGGTTGTTGGATGAAATTGGTACGAATGTAGTTGGATTTCTTACAAGAACAGCATTTCATAAAGAGAATAACGTCAGACTGAGGTAAGAATGCCATATGGAGTATAAGTTTAGATTTTTTAAAGGAGCTGGTTTGATAAACACCTGCCGAATAGCATTTCAAATATTGCCGCCATTTCCAAAGCATATAAGCTTAAGCTTAACTTAACTTAAGTAAGAAGTTAGTCCTCTGTAGATATACCAACCACGAGAAGCTTGTCTTGCTATATAATCCATATAACCTAAGTAATTTACGAGGTCTTCTCATTTTTTGCTGAGAGTTACAATGTAAAACTATTTGGTACATGATCGAGCAAGTGACATAGCGTCTACTACTTATAACTTAAATGCCCCGTGTCACTTCGCAAACGTCTCGAAATCAGTTCGAATTGTCTCGATATCAGTTCGCAAACGGATTTTAATTCATCTTTAGTGTGTTTCAGAGAAAATTTTGTTTTAAGGAAACCTGCAACGAGAATTCTAAGGTATAATATAAAAATTAGGTAAAACCTAATAGCGGAGCTCCCAAAAGATATGCATGTTTGATGAAGATGTGATGCAAGACACATYGGTCAGATTTTGAGTACATGTTTTGTCAAGACTAATTTACTTTTGCTAACAAAAAATGGCACTACATTAAATAATTTTTTTATTTTTTATTTTTACATTAAATAACTTTTTCTCTTCAGCTTTGTTG